TTTTTTTTTTTTTTTTTTTTTTTTTTTTTAATTTTTATTTTTATTAGGGAAGGGCATTCAAGTCATTATGTCCTTTTCTTTTTGGTCTTTTTTTCCTTGAGAAAACACAAGGAAAAAAAAGGCGCTTTGAATTTGCGTTTTGAATGACGTGTCAATATATTTGGAATTTTAAGGGTTCAAATTTGGTAAATTTATGACTTTTAGAATATTTAAAATGTAATTTAAAAAAATTAAAATTAAAAAGTTATATTTTAGGGCTAGCTGCTCGAGTGATTTTTATCGAGAGTTTTAGCTCGAATACCAATATCAGCTCTCTTGTAAACCCTACTTGAAAATCGAGATAAAGCTAGCGGAAGCTAGTGCTGCATGTGATCCCATTAATGACAAAGTTGTAGTTCCTATAGTTCGGCAAGAACGAGTAGTTTCAACAACGATTGACCCATCATTGAGAGAGTGATACAATCCTACAAAGCCAAGAGAAAAGCATTAGGCATTAGTATAAAGGGAAGCAAAGACATAGGTATCAAATCGACCAACATCACTATTGATCATCTTAAAGTGCTTAATTAACTACTTCATCAATAGAAACAACTAAAGCGAGCACGACTAGTAGATGATTCATAGTTGATCGTAATAAGCTTGTAAAGCATAGGCTACGTAGCCTAGTAAGTGCTACTGGTAATATATTGTTATAGTACTAAAAAAGCGTTTGTAGACCTAACATTTTACAAAGTGTAATTGGTTGTCAATTTGATTAAAAAATGGTTTAGAAATAAAGATGTCTATGAAACCCGAAAAAAATAATTTTCATCCTCGTGAAAATTTTTCGTCTATTTTTTGTGGGGATTATAGTGAAAACGTTGGAATAGTTGGTCTCCTACGTGCCCGAAGATCTTGAATTTGAGGCTTTTTGAGGATCAGATTTTCCACAGAGAATTTTTTCCTATTTTTAATATATATAATATGTATTCATTTTAAATAAAGATAATTCCTAAAAACCTCAAATATCCTCATAAATCCAATTTATAATTACTAAAACTCAAAATTGAATTTTTTATATATAAAATTAGACGAAACGGAAATTTGAGCGAAATTGGAGTTCGGAGTAGGACAGAGACATAGAATAATTCTCATTCCTAACTTCCTTTAACTAACGAGAAGAAACCTCCCACGGTTGATTATATATATATATATAAAGTTAGACGAGACGGGAGTTTGAGCGAGATCGAAATAGGACTGACACAAAGAACAATTCTCGTTCCAAACTCCATTTAGCTAACGAGAAGAAATATAAGAGAAATATTTTACCTATACCTATATTTTCTTTAGTATAATTCGTAGAATCCGATTGAAGTATGTATGAAAACTTATATTTATAAACACATATATATCTATCTAAATATATATATATATATATATATATATATATATCCTTTATCCATGGATATATCCTTTATCCATATCCTTTATCCATCGTTAGTTTGGACTTACATATGTGGAAAGCCTATAGGACGGAGACAGAGAACAATTCTCATTTCAAACTCCGTTTAGCTAACGAAAAGAAATTACTGATTGGTTCCATGTTTAACCCGAGATTAACATGGGTAATTAGGATTATGGAGATGAAAGAGTCGCGCTTTATCTCTCCCTCTCCTTATTTCTTGGGTCCCTTTGACCTTTGTCCATTTGTTGGGTGGAAATTCCATTGGCTAGAACATGACTTGCTCGTGACCAACTGCTCTTCCTACAATTCAAATCAGTCTCTTCTTGTATATATAGAACCTCCCTTGTTTTCTCTTAGCAAACATTATCCAAACCCTTTCTTTTCTCTTTAGCTTTCTGTTTTTCTTTTGACTTTCTTTTGTTCTTTCGCCATGGTTTCTCCTGATGCTGTTCGCACCGTGCTTGGAATCTGTGGTGGGTTTTCCTTTTCTTGTTTTCTTCATAAACCCTTGTGGTTTCTTACTCATTTCTGTGTTCTTTCTGTTCTTCTTTCTAATTTCTTTTCATTTTGTCTGTGTTTTCTTGCAGGAAATGTTATTTCTTTCTTCTTGTTTCTCTCTCCTTTGTAAGTATTTGCTTCGATACTACCGTACTAGCTTGCTACTGCTCTTGAATTCTCGTTTTCGGGTTCGACCCAGATACAAATTCTTGTTTTTGGATTCGGCCTAGGTTGAATTCTTGTTTTCGAGTTCAACCCAGATACAAATTTTCTCTTTTGAATTTGATCAAGATATAAATTCTTGATTTTGAGTTTGACCCAAATGCAAATTCTCGATTTTGAGTCCGACCCCGAACGAATTTTGGTTTTTTTAGTGTGACCCAGATGCAAATTTTCTATTTTGAGTTCAACCTAGAAATAAACTCTCATTTTCGGGTTAGCACAAATACAAATTTTTATTTTTGAGTTTGACCAAGATACAAATTCTTGTTTTTGGGTTCGACCCAGATGCAAATTCTAGTTTTTGGGTTTGATCCAAATGCAAATTCTCGATTTTGAGTTAAACCCAGAAATAAACTCTCGTTTTTGGGTTTGACCTAGGGGTTTGATCTAGAAGTTTTGATATGTAGGGGCAAGATTTTGTGTTTTGAATATAGGGTTTCTTTCTTCTTCATTTTGTATTTTGGAGCTTTTTTTTTCTTTTAATGCAATTCTTAAAAAAGAATTGTATTTTGTTGAGGAGAAAAAATGGTGGGAATTACACTTTGAAAAGATAGAGAGAGCTCGATAATATTTTAACGTAGTATTATAACACATGAAGCTCAGACGAGCATTAGGTTAAAAAAACAAAAAAAAAAGGTTGTGATTCCAGAATTGTGAGTTCAAAGAGACAATATCTTGAGTGAGAATGTAAGAGGATTCCGAGTTATTTCTCTCATTAATTTCATGTTTATTTGATTTTTTAACGATTGAATTATATTTACAGGCCAACGTTTATCAAAATATGTAAGAAGAAATCGGTGGAACAGTACTCACCAATGCCATATCTAGCAACATTGATGAATTGTCTAGTATGGACGTTGTACGGGATGCCGATGGTGCACCCAAATAGTCTGCTCGTCATCACGATCAACGGCATCGGTATCGTGATCGAGGTCGTGTACATAATCCTCTTCTTGGTTTACTGTAATGGAAAAAAGGAGCGGGTAAAAGTGGTCATGGTGGTTCTGGCTGAGGTCGTCTTTGTGGCTTGCTTGACCCTCCTGGTTCTCACCCTGGCTCATACCTACACTCTTCGCTCTACCATTGTTGGTTCAGTTTGTTTGGTCTTCAACATCATGATGTATGCTTCACCATTGACGGTGATGGTTAGTATAATTTCTTTCTCCTTTTTTTTCTTAAAAAATTAACAAAAATATTTATAAGCTTAATTTTTAAAAATTAAATATTTAAAATAGGGTTGTCTCGTGTAATGCAGAAACTGGTGATTAAGACAAAAAGCGTGGAATATATGCCATTTACTCTATCCTTTGTTTCACTTGCCAATGGCATTATTTGGACAGCTTACGCTTGCATCAATTTCGACCCCTTCATCGTGGTAATTATTAAATAACACACTTTGTTAGACGAACACGACTCTCCACAATGGTATGATATTGTCCACTTTGAGCATAAGCTCTCATGGCTTTGCTTTGGGCTTCCCAAAAGGTCTCATACCAATGATACCAATGGAGAGTGTATTCTTAGATTATAAACTCATGACCATTCCCTAAATTAACCGATGTGGGACTTTCATCATCCAACACACTTAAATAATAAAAATATTCATAAATTACTAACAGTAAACTAACTTGAAAAACTGCATTAATGGCGTTTTCTCAGATTCCCAACAGCCTCGGAACACTATCGGCTCTTGTTCAGCTCGTCCTCTACGCCACCTTTTACAAATCCACTCAGATCCAAATTGCTGAAAGAAAAGCCCAAATTCACCTCTCCGAGGTTGTCGTCAAGGGCGGCTCCCTGTCGAACAAGACCACCAACGACGGAGATGCAACTTCCCCTGTTTCAGAGACGATGGCGCCGCCACACAAAAAGTGATCGGAAGGCGACCATCGGCCGGCGACCGGAAACCCAATTCATAATTAAAAAAAAAATAAACTTTTTACTTATGATGTTTTGGAATTATATGAGTTTCAATAATATACGGAATTGTTATTATTATTACTTAATATTTAAGTATTAAGTAATAATAATAATGGTGATTTTGTTTGGCTTTTTTTTATTAGGGAAGGGCATTCAAGTCATTATGTATTTTTTCTTTTTTGGTCTTTTTTTTCCTTGAGAAAAAAAAAAGGAAAAAAAAAGGCGCTTGGAATTTACGTTTTTGGATGACTTGTCAATAAATTTGGTAAATTTATGACTTTTAGTAAGTTATTATGTAATTTTGCTCTTTGGAATATTTAAAATTAAAAATTAAAAGTAAACATTAATGTGATGCCAAAAAATAAAGAAATATTTACCAACATTTTTATTATGATATTATTATATATCTATATATATCCAAAATAAATATCATATATTTAAAGTGGAAGTTAAGTCACTGCTATTGAATATGGAATTAATAAATAAATGGTAGGAAATTAATCATAATTAAAATCTAAATTTATTAAATCATTTTTGTTGATGGAGAAATGACAGACAAGAAAAAGAATTATATTTTCTTTAAAACATTGAAAAAATATTTAATGGATTTTTAAAATTTTAATTTAATTACTTTCTTTCTACCAACTTTTTTTTTTAATTAAATTTATATCAAATTGTTTAAATTTTAATTTTATATTTATTAAATATAAGAATTAAAAATAATAATTAATTCGAAGAATTAAGTTTATACGTTTAAAAATTAAAAAAAATAAGATTTAAAAATAGTGTGCCAATAATGACTGAATAAAGAGTTAGGTGTAAAATTAAC